AAGTTGAATTGAGAAAGAATAAATTAGTTTTATTTAAGAAAGGACTTGTATCGCTGAAGTTCCTCGAGAAGAATTTATACCGGAAATTAACAAACGACCAGAGACGTAACAATATCATACATCAACAGAAGTTTCATTATTAACAAGCCTTGAGTGATGGCACCATTGTTATGACGATTAGTTGCTGAATTAAATATGAGAACGGGTCTAAAGTTTGGCAGACTGTTAAGTAAAGAAATGGAGTCAATGCCTACGTTGATGCTAGTTCCACGACTACCCATGAGTAACGGAGTTAACAATAGATAATCACCCTTGTTAAATCCAGGAAGACGTTGCAAGGTGAGAGATTTTGCCACCATCTGTTCAAAATATTGTAAAATAATATTCACCTTTCTTGTTCATATGTTTTTTCTAGGTTTTCATTTGGAATTTCTGGATATGGGAACAAGTGACACAGCATTTGTAGCTAAACTTGAATGGTCTGACACTTATCTCATGAAATACTTGGAGTCCAACCAACTCTGCAGGTGAAAACCGTAGTGCAAAATTGCACTTTTGTTCTGATCCAATGGAAAACAGAACCATCCAATAAGCAAAATTCAAGACTAGTAAAAACAATATCCACAAAAACCTACCCATGTATTCCTATGGACTGCGACGCTTCCATGAGCATAACCCAGCATGGTAGCATCTGACAGTGTATATTATCATCTGTTTGTGTAGGGACATCCTGTTAAGTTTATGTGACACCACATAAACATTAAAGACATTATTTTTTAAATGAGGTTGAAACTGTAAGAGCAAGGTAAAAGTATTTTATATCCAGTTGGACAGAATCTTATCTTCAGCTGTGATAGTTCAACCCACATAAACTTCATCTGAGCAAATGAAACTGCATGTCTCTGATGTGCCTCTGAAACACTAGTTATATCACGAAATAGAGAATGAACAAACTGAAGTTATACATTTTGATAATAACACTACTGAATGTTACCCCTGTGGGGTTTTCGAGTACAATGATTTACTTTTCAGATTATAACTAGGGATGCACGGGTAACCGGCCAGATATTTGGCCCCGGCCGAGTATTGGGTTACCCGGTAGTACTCGGCTCTGGCCGAGTGTCGAAGTTAGGCATCTAATCTTTGTAGCAACGAACGCGTTACTGAAAGTTACACTCAATAATTGGTTTAGTTATATGTATGTATATATATATATATATATATAAACGTGTTCCGAGCAAACAAAAACTGACCGCCCGCTGAAAGTCGGGGATTCAGAGAACAATAGGGGTTTATAACAGGCATGGCTTGAGAAGTGGATTTCTGGAGAAGTTAGGTTTTTTTTAGAGCAATAGGGGTTAGGGTTTGATGATTATTCGGTTAAATGTAATAAACATCATTTTGTTTTTGTTTCTAACATTTGTGTATGTTGTTGTTGTTTGTTTTTTGGGGGGTGGGCAAGGGGAGAACCCAGTCTTGGTTGACACTCTTACCCAGCCGAAGCTTAGTGACCGGGTACCCGGACCCGGTATTCGGCCAAATTTTACTACTCGTGCATCCCTAATTATAACTAAAAATAACAGGAGGAACAGACATCAAATTGTCATGGAGTTAAACTGAATTTCTTTGTCTCTAATTGAGTTTGAAGCAAGAAAACAGGCCGAAAACAGTGTTAAGAAAAAGTGTAAGTAATATTTATTTAATCAAAAATAATTAAACTCACAAGTTCAGTGGACAATGAATGATGATTCTAGATAAGATATACTTGAATTCTCTATCTTATTCTGAAGAGTGTCTGCTCTAGACTGGGAGAATATTGCATTATATACACTAAAAATAAGGTCAGTATTCAGTGTGCAGACGTTATATAAGTCATTGGTTATTTATACTGCTATAAATGGGGTTTCGATACCCGTGATAGGTAGAGCACCGTTAGCCTTTTGTGTAGCTTTGTGCTTCATAACAAGCAATATCTTCCACTAAGACTACATCTGCTACAAATAAAAAAATCATGTATATGTTGCATATCTACATACATGCACATACTTAGGCATGATAACTATTCATAAGATCGAACACTTTAATATACAAGTAATATTTTTAAAGAGTTTGAAAATCAAGAATATTAAACGTCAGTTTGACAGAGGGGGTTAGACTGTAACGTTGTTTATTACTATTTTCCTTCTTGTTAACATGCTCATGAATAGACATGAAAAACAAAAGATTGATCTCTGGTCACTACTTTGCTTATAGGGATCAGAAGAGTGGTCAAGTACTAGTAAACTTGTATAAATAAGACAAAACGATTTGTTGAAACATGTAGTATGTATTGAAATATTTCGTTATTCTTACAGACTGTTGTCTTATATATACAAGCCTCCTAGCGTAATGTGCTTCCCTACATAAATACTAGTAAACTTCCTAACTTGTTTTGAAAGAACATAAGTGTTACTATATATTATACACAGTTTGTGTTATGTTCGTGATGCATCAATAAGATGTAAGTAAATGCATGATGATGGGTTGAAGTTGCCTTACATTTTGTTTTTATGTTTTGTAGTGTCGCTCTGTATGGAAGTGCCTCGTGAATGTTGTCTCTTGGTATTCTTTAGGGAGAGCAGTGGTATATCCATTGTCTGTGTTGGCATATATATGTGAAGATGACAGAAGCTCTTCCTGGTTTTATTGTGGAATAGAAGCCCATTTTGCAGCAGAAATAACTTTTTTTTTAGATCGTGACTTTGAAAATCTCACAAGCAGCATCGTCTTAGTGATTTTCATAAAGTATCAGAGTATTTGATTTCGAATTTCACCAGTCTTCATTCAATGCTGAAACTTGGATACCTGATCTATAACAAAATATATAGTGACCAGTGATGGTCTATTTCCTTTTGCTCAATATAAGGCTAGACCTAATTAGTTTGCCTATTTACTTTTTCTTACAAATAACTTTATTCCAAAGACAGTAGCACCTACCCTTTCATTTCACAAATAATGGAGAACATGCTTAGCATTAACATCAACTCAATCATTGAGCAGAAAGACCTTTTTTGTATGTCACTAACTATTCAATTAACCATTTCGATAGATCCTTCAGCTCCAGTGCTGATGGACATGTATTGATTCTCAGTTACATTTTTCTATATTGTTTTAGTAATTGAGGACAAGAAAGAAGGTAAAAATTGAAAGAATTGAGCCGCAGTTCAACACCTGAACTCCTTGGGGTATCTATATTCACGATCAAGTTCAATAAACCTATGATTCCTTCTTCTAGTGGTTTGGATACCTCATTTTCAGAAAAACTAAATTTGTCAACATTACAACATAGGAGTACAATGAGCTCCTGAAGATATATTGGATGCCCATTAGAGGTATGCCAGGAGAAGAAATATCATATAAGTACGACTTGGGCTCACCTTTGACTAGATGATGGTTACTCCCATGCAAAAGGGTCCAGCAAAGGTATCCCATGTAATAAACAAGGTCAAATTGGTGATGAAGGAGGAAAAAGGGAGAAGAACAATTGCTGCAGAAGCAATATCAATTCCTCTGACTGCATTTACATAGTCCAGAGAATCAGCTTTTGTAATAGTTTAGCTTATGTAGATTAGCTTGTCTAAATGAAATTGGTAAAATAAAGACTAGCGATAGTAAATTTACCAACAAAGCCTCCAAAAAGTATTTCAGCAAACAGTGACTTTAAATCAGTGGTAAGATGGTGCCACACGGCCACGCCACTGTCGTTAAACGGATAGGGGCCTGGGAATTGGATTTTCAAAAAGAAAATGCTTAGAGGAGAAAGAGATAAAAGATATCAGAGCAGAGACACAGTCCACAAAAGTCTAGTGAAGGTAAAAAAGAACCAAACTTGGATTAAAGACGTCATCCAGAAAATGTCATCAAAAGACTGATGCTTGTCTACTATTCTGGAGGACTTGTTTACCATAATGAGCTGACTTGTCAGAGTTGTACAAAATATAATTGTCCATATTTAACTATTTTCTCTCCTTCTTTGTATAGTTTGACCTGTGAAACTGATGTTATGAACAATTGGGTATATAAAAGGTTTAATCTATTCTATGTTTGTTATGCAGTATATCTTGAAAATTATTTGAGATACAAATAAACCAAATAATTTTTTTCCGAATTCTTCTCATACCAGTTCAAGTTTAGCTCTTTTTTTCTCGGAGACAAAATATTTGTTAACAAATGTTATCATTATAAGATCGCCAGCGGTTTTACTGAATTATATAATGACACTTAATTTTCATTTTTTTTTCTGTAAATCTCCAGTTATGAAGTATAAAAAATAAAGCTGTCAGTGTTATATTGCAACTAAACGAAATACTTAGTTTATTTCTGCGAGACAATAAAAATGCGATTTGGTATGGTGTTTGAGAGTTATACATGTAACCAAACAGTAAATAAAAAATATGGATTCAAAGCTTTGTTAATCTTTGAAAGGAAAATAACGCTTTTTGTTTGAATGTGTGTACTCTTTATGCGTATCAATGGAATCTTTATGAAATTTACAAATAGTGTGTGTGTGTGTGTTTTGTTATAGCAAAGCCACATCGGGCTGTTTGCTGTGTCCACCGAGGGTAATTGAACCGCTGATTTTAATGTTGTAAATCCGAAGTTTTATCCGTGTTCCACCGGGGGTCTTTCTTAATAGTATATATCACACTGTGATGTAAAATTCATCATCAGCAACTATTAGTAAAATGAAAAGATATAGTTAGTTGATATATTACGAATAACCATTTCTTGCCGAACAACTGACTTTAAAAGCATTTCACAATGTTTTCCCATAACTTAAAATCATGCAGAGTTTATATATTTTTATTACTTTAATTTTAACTTGTTACTGAAATGTATAGTTATGTTTATGCTATCCGTAAATGATGATAGTACAGTTTCCTCCTCATAGATGGTACTAAATCATACCTGCAGAACTTTAGGCTGCTTATCTATCGTACTTGCTCCTTGTTCTTCTGAGCTAAAAAGAGTTACGTCATATTAAGATTAAACATGGCGAATGTTGGAGAGGATTGTTGTTACGCCCGAGGAGGAGAATGTGGTGTTATTATATGTTAACATTTAAAAAACGATTGTATTTTCAGTAATTGTATATATAAATGATTCATTAAATCACTGACCTTGAGTTTTAGCTGTTCATCAACGAAATATGGCATCAGATAAAGTTAAGGTGGCTGTTCGTGTCCGGCCGCTAAGTCGACGAGGTTAGTTCGTATTCAGATAGCGTAGTACTGCTAGTCGTATTAAGTAACGTAATACAGTAATGCTAAACCTAAGGTAAATATAGGTAACAATTTAGAGAGTAAGAAGTTGTAGTGGGAAGCGGTAGAATTAAGTTAGGTATTACTTATCTTTAATGAAAGTCATAGGCATGTTACAATACATCATCTGTCATCATACTCGTAGTCGTAAAAATGATAAATTAGCTTGATGACAGAATAAGTAAGATTGCCTTAAAATTTGATATTAATTATATGGCTAGTTTGTTGAATCTAAAATGAAGTTAACGAATTTTTTATCTATATTTATTATGTAAATAATAGGTAACATTGTAATTATACATATTTGAAAGGCAATAGCTGTATCCTTTAGACTAATAGTAATAGTATGACAACTTACAACTTATTTTTGTAATTAAGCTCTTAAAAATAAAAATGTTTTGGCCAAAGGCTTCCAAACATTTGCATTTAAAAAACAAAAAGGTAATGATTCATAATTTATTCTTACAAGAAAAGAATCAGTATTTTCAGTTTAATACATATTTTCAGGAAGTTAAACTGAATGTTTGGTTATATGAAAAAAGTTTTGAACTAAATGGAAGAATTCAGATATTTTCTGTATGTGTAAATGTAATTGATACTGTGTAAAAACAAAACAAAAATCATCTCTTACAATGGATGTGAGTAAAACAGCTACTAAAATGATTGCTTGTTTAACATAATATATAAAATTGAATGAAAACAAGGGACCTGTTGGTACATCTAGGATGCTCCATCCACTAAACCAAACTATAAAAATACAACCTTAAAGTCAGTTTTTTTCATTTAAATATCTATCAAGGGTTCCCTTAAACTTAACTTAGTTCCCTTTACTGCATCCACCACAGCTGAATACAACCCATTCTAAAGGCCAATCATCCTGTTAGAAAAATACTATCTTGGCTGAAGATGACTTCTACCCTACCAAAATTTATACTTGTGTTACCTACTGGTAGGTCTATCGTTTTCACCATTAAGTAGAAAAAAAAAAGATGCTTCAATGCTATTAATTCTCTTGTTAAGAAACCTCAACCAGATCCCCTCTAAAGAAATGCATTTCACTCACAGATCTCAACCTGCCTTTGTATGACAACTTTTCCATCCCAGATATCATCATAGGAGCCCTTCTGTAAATATTTTACAACAATTCAATGTCCTTCCTAAGGTAAGGAGTCCAAAACCAAACTGCTCCAAATGAGGCCTATTCAGTGGCTTATACAATTGAAATTATAATATGTTTAGACTTGTATTTAATATTTTTGTAGATACTGCTAACAACAGCACTCTGCTTGGGTGGCTTTGTTTCCTGCTTAGTATTAAAAGATACATATCATAATGACTGAAATAAATATTATGAGTGATCAGGAGCTATTTATAATGTAAGGTAATAGATGTTAACCTGCCACTGCATACATTTCATTTGAAGTGATGTGTCAGTAAATGGAATTCTGAAAGAGTTCCTTGTCAAGATGTATCCTTCTTTGAAGCCAAAAATACAAATAATCAAAGGAAAACCATAAAATAACTATAAATATTGATATAAGAGTTTGGGAGGTAGAAGCTATTTCAACCCTAACTATAAAAATAACTTGGGGTACATTCTGTTTGTGTATCATGAATGCACTTGCAATAAAATGTTTTTTCACATAAGAAAACAATTCACCCCTAAACATTAAAAATTTCTTGCTATATAAGCTACTGGAGTACTGTGTACAGCTTTAGTCTCCTTATAAAAGAAAGGATATTGACTTACTGGAAAGGGATCAGAGGAGGGCTAATAGGATGAATCCAGGGATGGAAGTTTATATTACAGGGATAGTTTAAGATCTCAACTTATTTTCTCTTGAGAAAAGAATGGTAAGAGATGATCTTTTTTTGAAGTTTACAAGATTATCTTGGTGATCATTTAGATTAAGGACTCTGATTTATTTATACTGTATTCTGAAAATAGTACTAGTAGAGCAAGAGGACACAAGCTTAAGATTTGGAAAAGACAAGCTAGGCTTCAGTTATTACAGTTTTATTTTTCTAACACGGTTCATAAGTGTTTTTTGGAAGGCTTAACACTTGTTCTCCAGCAAAATTATATATAGTTACTTTAGAATTATATTATTCAGGATTGTTGTGACTGATGATTTAGTGCATGCAGTTAGTTTTAATATGGTTAAACATTTGTTCGATAACGTACTATATAGATGTGAAGGGCCATATGTCATAGGATGAACATGTTTCTCCTTGAGTGCTACATATCTATATGATGATTATAAGAACCCACCAGTGAAAGTAAAGAAGAATATAATGATATGTCAACCACACTATATTCAGTCCAAACTGTACTTTTCTCCTAATACCAGGACCCATCAGGCCAGTGAGGATAAAACAAACATAGAAATGGTTGAATTGCTACCCATATTGTTAATTATTTGAACAACAATTAATAAACCATGTTTTGTAAATTTTCCCCTTATTTTCATACTTGTTAATTGAATAATGATATTGAATTTATAAAATTTATTATAACTGGAGTAATATTTAGTTATAATATTGTTCACAAAATACATCAAAATTTGGAACTGGAGGTCTTTTTATAGTGGTTGTGAGTGGATTCTGACCATAGAAGCAAGAGAGAAGAAAACACAAGTCAAAATTTAAGCAGAGGGAATTAGTGATGACTAGTAGTTTTTATTTAAAAAAAAATTAAGATGTATAGTGACACACACACACACACACAGCATAATATCATAAATATTTTATCAGACTTGGTAAGACTGAAGATTTTTTATATTGTGTACTTATCAAAACTAAAAGTTTTTATGACAAACAGCTGTAATTTTGAATTGAATTATAAAATATTGCACAAAAGATGTAATGAATAGAACTATTATAATGTATTTTGGCATTGAATAATCAAAATTATAAAATACTGCCCAAAAATTTAAAAAAAACTAAACTATTTTAAAGTTTTGTACATGAATCTAAAGAACAAAAATGTTTCTAACTTACCTCACGAGCCATCAGAAATAATAATAATAATAAAAAAAACGTACTGTCTGATGACTTAAACATTAATTTTTTTTAATACAGTGTGCTTGCAACAATTACAAGAAAAACAATTGTGCCAGATATCAGTAACTTACTGTTACTATTGATTAACAATGTTCATTGCCTGAAGAAGACTTTGGATAGTTTGCAGTAAAAACAAACTAACAAATTTACCCAGTGAATGTCCAACAACTTTTTGTTTATTAAATTAGAATACTTACATAATGATCCTAAAACAATAATCACTTTTAGTGTGTTGTTATAAGGTGCTTTAAATACAAACAGGATACTTTATGAAACATCAACAATTGTTTTAAGCTACTAAAAGTACTGAAAACATAAACCACCAGAGAATACTAGAAAGAAAAAAATAATCAAAAATCAAACATCAGTAATTCTATTAAGCACCAGAGTGCACTTAAAAACAAATACTATGCTAAATACCAATGGTTGTGTTTAAGAAATAAAGGAAACACAGTCATATGTTCTGTTAATGCCATCCCTTCACTCACGAAAAGTTACCAATCAAATAGTTGAAAAGACACTAGAAATATAGCTCTTCATATTTACATATTAATCCTATGGAAAGCATATTAAAACAAACCACACACACACTAAATATCAGTAAAACCAATTAACAAGAACATTACTCTAAAATACTTTATATAATTTTGCTTACAATTATTATCCATAATATTCAACTTTGCATTTTCAACCTTTCACTACTCAAGCACATTATCCAAGCTGTTAACAATTTTAAATATCTCCATCAAGTTATCTCTAGTTTTTATATACTCCATAGGAAACCACTCCAAATTTTCAAGCCTCTTTCAGTACCTTGTGTGACAGGAAGTGTTTTGTATGTATAGTGAATGGGTGGGTTGTTTAATTATGTATGAAATGATGCTACTCCATGGACATTCACAATATATACATATAGAATGTGCACTGATTTATTTGTATAGTTGGGAGGAAATAACAATCGTGCATGATAGCATGAATTTGATTTCCAGCGTATGCATGTTCAAGATTTATTTAAAACATTAAATTACATTGTCTCTGGAGAGAGATCAATATGAAAAACAAGAACCATGTATTGTTGCAATATTTTAAAGGGTTAACCAGTTTCATTGTTAATGGTTGGATAAATGAACATTATAATATTTAGACCATTTATCTATATTATAATTGTGTTTATATGCAATTAAAATAATTTCTGAAAATTTATGGAACAAGATACTCTTATTAGAAATTCATGTATACATATAACATTAATATAATGCATGGTTTTTGTATAGAATATTGTTTTAATAAGAAATAACCCACAAAAAAAAGTTTTTTTCTGAATATAAAATTTCAAAATCAGTTATTCACTAAATCAAGCATTAAAGATAGATGCACGTGTTCATTTTCTGCTCAATTCAGGTGATACTGTAAATCACTTTCACAAATCTTGTGGGTTATTAGTTTAAGGATTTTACATAATGTTTTAATTGAGTTTTACATTTTTTTCTCTATTGTCAGTGATAATGGTCTTTGCATGATACCTGCCTTAAAGTAGTCCATAGTTTTAAATTATTCCTGTCAGCATTGAATGCAGTTATACCTTACCCACTGCAGAATGCATGGCATTTCTAGTAATTTTTGTGGTGCTGTGATCCTTAATTGGCAGTGAATTTACAGGTTTCAAAATCATAGGATTGAGATTATTTGAATGTATATATTCATAAAATTAATACCTTTGTATATTTTAAAAATCTTACTTTTATGTAAGGTGTAATTCTTTCATTGAATTAGATAATGAAAATAATATTTTAGTTGTGTACTCACAATTTATAGATCTCATCTTTTCACATGTGGAATACTTAGTGTAATGAATAGACATCTACAGTTAAGATTAATTCAAATAATTATTTATAAATAAAAGTTGCTACCAGGGTGATGCCTAATGTACTAACTATAAAGTCTATTATATCAAAAGTTGACAGTGCATCAAAATTTGATGTGTATAACTGAATCAATAGTAAACCAAGCTTTCAACTAAGTTGTCTTTTATTATAAAGGTTTCTTGTGTTTAAAAAATGTTTTGGAAATGTTTTAATTGAAATAAACATTATATATGTTGTAGAGATGGAGTTGGAGACACACTGTGTGGTTGAAATGAAAGAAGGGCAGACTATTCTCAAACATCCTACGTGTAGCAAAGCTGAAAGGTAATTTTTCATCCTTGTGCAAACTTTTGGACTTAATGAAAGTGAAAAAATTGTACACATTGTAATAGATGAAATTACATGATGCACCATACTATGATCATATATTAGGTTTCAGCAGTCCTTTGAATTATCACAAAGTACCACAAATACATGGGCAATAAGGTCAAATATTTTTGGCCACAACTACTTTATTTTATTTCTAGAAACCATCAAAATAGATCATTACAGTAAAGATTAAGCCAGTTTATCAATTTACCACAGTATTGTTTGTTAAGACTTTTACTAATATTTTGTTATCCAATAAGTTTATTATTACTTATGTTGCCATTACCTGTGTTTTATACATGTGAAAAAAACATCAGTAAAATTACTTTTTCTTGTTCTCATTGTAATAAGTTTTTGTTACTGTGAAGTATTTTACTACGAGGCAATAAAGTATATTTCCTCAAATTATATACGTTTTGTGTCTTGCTTGTTTTGTTTGTGGTTACTTTGTGGTAATTAGTAGGACCCTGTCAGTGTTAGAAAACATGGGGTTTCACTGTTGTAGACATTTTTTGTTGACCATCTGAGAACTTGAAACAACACCAAAGACCAATAATGCTTAATTTTGTACTTGTTTTCAAAAACCGTGTATAATTAGTTAGCAATGTAATGAGGATTGTTAAATTCAAATTCAAGTGTAATTATGTTTGGAAACACATCATGATTCTACTAGAATTGTGGCTACCATGATCACTTTATTTTCATTATGGCCTATGTGATAGTATGTTTGGGATAAAGTGCAGCAAATAGGAATAAAAAATATAGGAAAGTTGGCAGCATCACTCTATACTTGAGAACAGAAGGCCTATTCAAGGTAAAGATTAAGCCATAGTATATTTGAAGAAGTGTCTTTCATAAGGAACAAAAGTCCTTGTGTGTCTGTTTGCTCAAAAGTGAAAACGTTTTTGTATGTTATTGTGAAAAATATTGTTTATAAGAAACCCAGTTTTAAGCTGTAAACATTACACAATATTGTTATAAATGTTTACTTTCAGTAGTGTTTATTGGAGTTTGAACATGTAAACACACTCAAGTGACTATAAACATACTTGTACTAAAATAAATCACACAGTTTGGTTAGTGTTGTAGATTGCTTTATATCACAAATTTTTATGTAAAGATATTGTTTTTTTTTTGTAAGAACTAGGTGCACTTATAATATTTTGTTTGTACAAAGTAAGTTCAGTTTTATGTATTAAATATATTAGACTAACTTAACTGCTGGTATATTGTGTATGTTTATATTGATAGAAATATTTAAAGGTGGGTTATTCTTTTCTTTATCTTGAAAATATTTTTGTTCCTAGCTTTTTTTATGAGTAGCAATGCATATACGTGTACTGCTCCATATTGTTCTCTCTCTTTTTTTTTTTACTTTGATATAGCATCATAATTTGTTCAAGGAACTATTTATATTTGTAAACTATTGAAAATAAAAGATTATGAGTTTGTTTTATTGTTTGCAATATAATTGAAATCTATGATTGAATAAACAATGATATATTCTGGTTGCAAGCTTGTCTTACATTGTACATACACTTATCTATAAAGTATTTATTGAATGCAACTTGGCATATTAAATACACAAGTACAGAAGATAAGATGTTGATATTAACTTTTAACATTAAATCTGTTTGTATAAAGTTTTATTGATTAGATGCATCATGTGTGATTTATTTTATTTTTGTTTTTTATCACAATAATAAAATTTGATTGAAGAGAAATATATTGCTAAACATGATACAATTAAGATATTTTTATATCAGAACTCAGTGAAAGTAAGCAAGCTTCCTAAGTACATAGATTACTCTAATTGGAAATTATTATTATTAATGCAAATAGTAATTGTTAATATATATATATATATATATAAAGGTTACTTTTTTCTGTGAAATAAGTTACTTTTGAAGTGAATTTTACACAGTGACATTCTTTCTGTACCTATTATTGTCTTGATTCATACACCATGTATTATAAGATTTAAGAGTTATTGGTTGGTCCATTGATAAATAATCGTTTCTGTGGCTATTAAATTTTGTAAGTTAACAAGAGAAAGCTGAGTAAAAGTTTAGTCTTTTTGCATACATACGTGAATAATACATGTGTAATGTATAGCTACCTACTCCTTAATGGTGATTATGTTTGTCAATAACTAATTAGTTTAATTATTGTAAAGTTTATATGCCTGATGATTTTGTGCAGATTTGTGACTTGTGTCATCACTTCAAAACTAGTGAAATAAGTTGTTATTACACTAGTTATTTTAAGTAAACTAATGAGAGTAGTTCAGAAGATTAAAGTTCTTTCAGCTTATCACTACTAATTCTTGAACACTGACTTTGATGTAAGTTTTAATTCCAAATGTTCTTACTTGACTTGAATAATTAAATATAAATGTTTAGATTTTTACAAATTATATAGTGTAGTTGAAGTTAGTACAAATTGTATTTTTGTTCTGTGAACAAATTGTGAATGATCCAACATTCTGTCAGTGCTTATACAGTACATGGATAATTATATAGCAAAATTCTTTACACCACAGTATTCCAGAACAGAGTAGACATGAATGTTGTTATGTTGATTGTTTGGTCAGAATGTAAGCTGTGAATGAGAACAAAATACTTTGAACATCTTACAATTACATGATATATGTTAGTATATTAAAACCATGGAATGACTGTTTAAATCAAAGTAGTAATTCTTTGTATATTGTGTGTGTATGTGTATATATACCCATTCTACTTGTTATACTAGAAGTTGCATTATCTATGCTTCCACCTATTATGTTAGTGTTAATTTTGATGATATTTTTGATGGCTTGTTAATTGTGTTATGTTGATAATATGTACCAACAGTGTTGCTGTATAAGAGCAGGTTTGTTGACCATTCATAGGAAAGATATCTGCATTTGTAGTACAGCAGCAGTAATGTCATGTGGAGTTCAGTCTCCTTTGTTTTGTTATAGCCATGTATATTCATGTACTTACATATATTAAAAACTTGACTTTTGTTAATGCTGAAATTAGTGTGTGATTATTACATCGAAACATTTTTGTTCGGTTAGCTTTAATAATGTTTTTTTAAGCTTTGAAGTGATAATATTTACAAAGTCAATTTAAGCAATATACAATACTGTTTAGGTTAGTTTCTTTTAGTTCGACATTCGATAGTGTGTTTGTTTATAAGCATGCATTTTTATGTGAGATTAAAATTGTGTCTGTTCAGTTTTACATATTGATATCTTCATATTTGTGTAATGATTAGTTTATATACTTAATGTGGCCGTAAAATAACAATTATCACTCAGTAGAATGCTGTCAAACTCCAAACTAGTGTTAAGCTTTAGGTAGTAAAGTATTGAAGTAAAGTAAGGACAGTGAGTACGGTTTATGTATGAGATCGTAACTGGACCTTAACGACCACAATAAAGTTCCCTGGTAACGAGAGTTGAGTATTATCCTTCCATAAAGTTCTGTTACTGAATGATTATTTTTCAAAAATCTGCAAACATTATAATGAAAAACAGGGCCAGATAAGCTTGTAGTAGGCCCACGAACTTAGATATGTGACCTTGCTTTTTCCACAACACCAAATGTTTTACATTGAAATATTATCTATCTAAACATTTTACCAAATATAATGATTTCAAATATTACAACTACCAAGTGAAAAATGTTTTAACGTTATAAAGAAAACAAAACAAAAACAAAAAACTCATAACCACTATGGGATCTATGACACCATGGGATCGTATTAACATTAGTATCTTTTAATTTCGAGTTATTTTGGGAATGCAATGGTTGACCTGAATTCGTTTGCTTTGTTTGTGCATTTCCATACTGGTTGTTAGTACTGAGCTGGGTTTGCGGTTTGTCCGCCTTTTTGCAGCGATTAACAGTCTTCATCTACAGTTTTTCTTTTATTAACAGCGCAATCTCCCCTTTTTTAAAGTGGGAATTTAGTGGAAACATATATAACAATAACAGGTAATTAAATGAAATAAAATAAATTATTTAATAACGTAACACACACACACACACATAAATGTACACCAAAGGTTCCTTCAGATAGCTTGACTCCATGTGACTGGTGGTTCCAAATTAGCGAAGGCATCACGCTACCTGGACTGCGCACTTACAAAGTGCAGCGACAGAACTCCATAATCCGAGGAATCAGAGCCTGTGCTTTGGCTGGTGCTAAAAACTCCTTTAGCGTGTAGTCATAACCATGCATTATAAACCTCCCAAAATACGCATCCAGCTCACAAAAAAACATAACATCCCGAAATCACAGTTTATAAGATAGTAGGGAATCTGTAGCGAAGATTGAATTCCCATGCTGAGAGACCGAGGTACTAGAAAAAAAAACAAAAACGCCTTTTATATTTTTAAAACCCCACCTATCATCACTTACCGTCCACAAGACAATAAGATCACATACTTCTAAAAAAATTCCATATTTCATATTAACCCTCTTACAAAATTTTTTGCCACCCCTTGCCTCTCCCAGGTCCAATATCAACTTATAACACTAAACATAATACCAACATTGGAATCCTTTTAGCTCATGGCAACATACGCAACACTAGACTAAATATCAGTGGTTCTCTAACTGGTTTCACTCCTGTAATAGACCATGCTGTAATATATGCATTTGCAATGATCACAGAACATCCATACAAGGTTCCAAGAGTAACTATTACATGAAGGGCCACTTTACTTGCGCATCAGGATGTGTAATATATTGCGTAAGGTGCGGACAACTGTATGTAGGGGAAACAGGTATCCGAACGCGCCCTTGAAGACGTTAATGATATTATCAATTATAACCCAGATAAACCAATAGTTCGCCATTTAAACTCTAATGATCACCTTCTTGAACATTTCAAAATATTCGTTTTTACATTTAGACGCGGACGAAGACGAGAACTCTTCCAAAATAAAATAATTTTTGAA